AGCAGCAGCAGCAACTTGGCGTTAAGTGTCTTTCCCAAGGACACATCGGACATGTTGTTGCAGGAGCTAGGGATCAAACCCCCAACTTTCTAGTCAGGGGACGATTGACTCTACCAGCTGAACCACAGCCGCCCCATACAAAGCTTCAGACAGGCTCCTTGAATCACATAATGTAGCTCACTTTTAAAACAAACTACCAAATAACCAAGCGATGTACGCTATATTAAGCTTTACTACCATCAGTGAGCCACTTGGTTTGAGCACTACTTCTTTGCACCACATGCGTGTTCATCCGCCTGCGACACAATAGTGTACGAGTCAACTTGAATTTTGCAGACCGACGGTTATATTGTCAATTTTTGATATCACAAATGCCCCCATCTGCATCAACTTACAGCCTATAGCTTCTGTGCATGCACTCCGACCAGTTTCTCAATGATGGGCTGACCTGACCACAATCTTATTTAGCTAATACACCTACAATTGACACGAACCTTACACAAACCCCCACTTCAAAAACAGGACCTTAGCACATTATTATTCTCGCTAACCACCAAATATGTATTTACCCGAGCAATGCACTGTTTTCTATTGTTATTGTCATATAAAAATCTACCTGGAACGTCAATCAATGGCTGATAGCTGATTTTATGCAGTATTGAAGGCCTCATGTCTGGAACTACTTTTGTATGAAAAATCTGGAACAAAACATTTGAGTCATCATCTATTGAAGAAATATCTTTATTCATCTGAAGTGTCTGTGGCCCGTCTCTCAATCTAAAGGTTGTCAGTTTGACGACTCAGCTCCTGCAGTCTCCATGCTGATGTGTCGTTGGCTAAACACTGGACCCAATGTTCAAGGCAAATGCCCCCATGCATTATCAGTACTCTACAGCCTTTACTATCAGAGTGTGATTGTTTGTGTGGAAGGATGCATTAGATATATGCTGCAAATGCACTGAGTGGTTACAGGACTAGAAAAGCGCTATAGGAGTGCAGTACATTCACCATGTACCATCCCTCTGTACCAGTGAAGGAATAAGTTCAAATATATGATGAAGCAATCCAGTCCGAGGTCCTTCATGCAGTAAGAGCACCTGTTGCATCTCAGTAAGGACGGCGCACATAAACTGAATTAAACTGAATTCTTCTCTTCATGTCAGAGCAGATGGAATCACACACAAAGAAGAAAGGGGCGGGGTTCCCAAGGCAAATAACTTCTGACCCCCACTGATAACAACTTGCAAAAACAAAGGCCCTTTTCCATCAACTATTCCACTGTAACAGTCATCCATCATGCCTCAGGCCCTTCAATTCACCTCTGACTAGAAATGTAAAACTAAGATTAATTTAACACAAGGCTGCACACACACACACACACACACACACACACACACACACACACACACACACACACACACACACACACACACACACACACACACACACACACACACACACACACACACACACACACACACACACACACACACAAATATCATAACCAAATCAATAGGGGTATTGTTATTTCAGCCCGCTACTATCAGTATCAATAGCCTCTCTGTGATTAAAAATATCCTGTGCCTTTGGATAAGGTTAAGGCCAAAGACACGTGTCTGCCAGAGTGTGTGTGTGTGTGTGTGTGTGTGTGTGTGTGTGTGTGTGTGTGTGTGTGTGTGTGAGAGGGAGCTGTAGAAAAAAAAAAAATCCAGGGCCTCTTATGATCTAATATTTATGAGAACTACCTTCCAAAGGCAACCCAATTCCAAAGGCAGCAGAGAACTGAACAGAGTCATCTGCAGGCAATAAAGTCCAAACTGTATTTAGTGAAGACTTTATTAGTCAGTCATCATCCTCATCATAACCATTATCAAGGGCCTACTTCCCGTCATCATCTACAATAACTCATTACCGACTAAAGTAAAACCCTGCCCAGAATAAAGCATGACATGATGGGATTAGGGTTTGGTAAATGATCTCAACAGCTCTGCTTTATTGTATGAAACATAAAGAGAACAAGACTTAAACACTTACCGGTATCTGTATGAGTAAGGTTGGCTTTCCATACAATGATACCATGTGCGCTTTGAATCAACACAATCTCTGATATTTTAATGACCGAAAGTATCAAAAAGTACCGAAGCTTGGGAAAAAAAACGACAGATCTTCAGCCATATTTTAATCCAAAAAAAATTCCACCAGCATAAGTAAGAGAACGCTGTTTAACTTGCACAAATCAGTGCCAATGTATTTGTGCAATTTAGACAAGACAGTGTACTTTTTTTTGCTTGCATCTCTTCAGTTATTAAACAAAAAAATGACCCAAAGTTAGGTGCCAAGGACTTCTCTTTTGTGTTCCCATGGTAACCCAACAGGTATCCATATAGTTTGATTTGTGCTAGTATTTGAAAATCAGGTACTGTGACAACCTTCTGTCTTTATTGATGTGTAGTTGGAGTCACATGAGATTTTATGACTAATATAGCTCAGCTGGTATCTTACAGTAAGTACTGCATCATTTTAATTAGAAATGGGTCAAACCAACGTGACTGCAAATGAATCCAACATTCCAAACTTCTTAATCTGCAGCTCCAACTGATTGGGCTGCCATTGTAGCCTACATCCCAAATGGTAACTGAATCCATTTGTATGTCCCTGCACACTACGTATTGAAAACTGGGCACAGAGGTAAAGCTGTAAGCTTCAACAGTAATTGCCTGATTTATAAGAATTGGGGGACTTTAAGACGAGGCCCGGGCCAGGAGAGACAAAACTGAGTCTTCTCCGTCCTCACATCTCTAATTAACCTCCTTATATTTCTGTGTTGAGATAGAAGCGATGCTCGTCTGTGGATTAGACTCATAATCCTCAATTAGCGTATCATATACTGAACTTGTGTGCTTTAGGATTTAGAGGATTTAGGAGTAGAACAAACTTAGATTGGCATGAAGGAATTTTGGCACAAGCATGACAGCAGTGGTTGCCAGCTTTTCCCCTCAGGCCCTTAATCAGAACTAGTGTGGACAGTTTCAATAAATAAAGGACCCAAGGGTGATGTAGTGCTGATGTTCCTGAGTTACACTGGGTCACCACATCCAGAGGACTTGTATCATCATGAATTAGAAATGTGCATGAAACTAAATTAAAAGGAAAAGTCATGTGCAGAAAATCAATATGCTGCTATTACTGCTGTGGATTGTAGTTCCTGCCTGGAGATGAGAGTTAGCACCTGTGAAGGATGATATCCAAACAGATGAGCTGAGGTTTCACCTCTGCTCACCTCCTGCTGACAACTAAATATATACGCTCTGCTGCTGAAGCAGATCCAGCTGCACACTGAACCAGTCAAAACTGTATACAGTGTAGGGGAGGTTTGTGCATTAACCATTCAATTCTACCTGTGCTTCTGGAAAATAAGCCATGCTTCTGAGTACCAATAAAATCTTTGGTCCTCTTGGTCTCAGCTCGTGATGCTGGGTTCTTGTTTTGCCTGGGTTCTTATGATGGTTCTTGTTTTGCCTGGGTTTCGTGCACTACGGGTTCTTTTCTGTTGAATTGTATTGAATTATTTTTAGTATTTTCCATTTGTTATGTTCTTGCTGTTGTTAATGTTCTTCTTCTTCTGTTCTTCTTCTTGGTTTAGTTTGCTTTGTTCTTGTTTAAAACACTTTGTAAACCTGTGTTTTTAAAAAGTGCTATATAAATAAAGTCATTATTATTATTATTATTATAATACATTTTACCTTACCTTTAAACCTGAGAATAATGGCCATACTCCATGCCCTTTGTTTCAGTCTGATGGAGCTAAAGCTACCTATCAGTTTATCCTCAGATTAATTGGTGTCGATGTTTAAACCAGAAATACTGCCTTTTAGGATTATTTGGAGGTACATGAGGCAGACACAGATATTGTGTATAACATGAAGAACAGCAGCTCGAGAGAGAAACTGAGAGTAATAGTGTTAGCCCTCGATGGGGCTCAAATGTTTTGCTCAGCAAGAGCAAGAGTCTGCAGCAATAGACTGTCTGTAGCTCTGGTTAACGGGCCTGCTCTCCCTGCTCTACTACCTGGATGTTAACAAGCACAGTGAACAGATCCCATAGAAGCAGCGCGGTTTGGCAGCATGTTAATGTAGAACATTGAGATTAAATGTAGTAAGGCTGTGTAAGGTTACACTGGCATATTGACCAAATGGATGTTAGCCTGCAGGGAGGACTCAAGGCTGGCGGTGCTTTTGCTAAGTTAGCAACAAAAAACACATTACATTGTTTGCCTGCAGACATTTTTAAATATGTTTTACTACATTTTGACTGTTTCCTGAGGGTTTTCTTACCTCTAGACTAATTGGTGAGTCCAAATTTAAATTTCCATTCAACCAAATAGCAAATGACTCACCTAGAAACATCCCTAGTTATAGCTTATGCACTTTAAGCATTGTTTATTAATCGCAAAAAAACAAACCTCGTTAGAATTTTGAGCTTATAATGTCTCTATATTATTGAAAATTTCTCACTTTGTGAGGGTTTTCTTTCATAGCCATCTTTTATTTCCCCAGTCCATTGAGAGTTTTCTCCTGCATAACCAACGTTTTACTTGTATTTTCAGGGGCCCAATCAAAATGATGTAATATTCCCTCAGTCATCATAACCAGATGTCCTTTTCCCAGAGGTCGAAGCGAAGACCTGAAGCAGATCACTGTCTTGCTCGGAGACACTTTATCAGGGCCGACACAGGAGCTGGACTAGCAGTGCTTTAGTGGAAAGACAGTAACTCTCTGTGAGGCACACACTGCCCTCTCCCTGAACTACATCAGTTCAGATGGCTTTCATCCTGTGGCTACATGCGACATTCAAAAACTGGAGGCTCAGCACTTTGAGCATTAGCTCAGTGGTTTGTTATGACATCTTCATTTAGCCTCATTCACTAAACAGTATTGGACTTGAGACTGTATCTTATTATATCGGAAACATTTTGTGAGTGCTTGGGGTTGAGTGCTGACCTTCCGTTCTTTGTCTCCGTACTCCAGGCCGAGTGTGTCCATGGCGCGCACGATGGCAGCCAGAGACTGGATGGTGTTGCTGTAAACCACAGGCTTGTACTGCTTTACGTCGTCGCCAGAGAAGCCGTCCTCATGGATGATCCTTAACACACAAAAACATGCATTAGTTCATGTGTCAGGTAGGTTGCTTTGCTTTTGTAGGCTTGCTTTGGTGCATGGACACAGAAAGTATACTTTATTGATCCCGCAAGGGGAAATTCGTCTAGTTAACATGCTACACAAACACAGGCTGAAATACACACACATGCACATGCACAAACAGGATCACAAACAGGATCCTATGGACATGCACTAATGGAGAGGAAGTGGACTGGCACCTCTCCAGCTACCAGGCCAATTTCCGGACTTGGTCCGTGCCGGGACTTGAACCAGCGACCCTCTGATTCCCAACCCAAGTCATATACAGTATACTATTGTACGATACAACTGCATCATGTATATATATATATACATATCAGTAACCACTAGAGAGGATATACAAATAGAAGAGTAGAAATAAGACAAAGTTGCTCCCAAAGTTTCTTCACTTCCCCCCATACACACTTCAGAATGAAAGAAAATTCAGTGGACAAAAAGTACAGCAAAAAAATGTTGATTTAAAGTCAAAAGGGAACCAAGAACAGTTGCTGTGTTCTATCAGAAAATGTCATCAGGATATATCAGAGTTGTTAGATGAATGAAGGAGAGAGAAGGTATCGGAAGAATGAGGGTGAAAGGTCACGTGGTTGAGGAAGAAAAATACAAATGAAAGAGAGAGTGAGAGAGTGGGTCGAGGAAGCATTACCAGTAGGCTAAGCTGACATTTAGGCACACAGTGCTACCAGCAGACCATCCTGCTGGTTTAAATGTCAGACAGACAGACAGACAGACAGACAGACAAACAGACAGACACACAGACACACACACAGACAGACACACAGACACACACACACACAGACAGACAGACAGACAGACAGACAGACAGACAGACACACAGACAGACAGACAGACAGACAGACAGACAGACAGACAGACACACAAACAGACAGACAGGCAGACACATAGACAGACAGACAGACACACAGACAAAAACAAAGAGAGTTAACAGAGACAAGCAGCCAACAACATCAGACAGGACAACAGAGAGCTGCCTGATACAGACAGACAGACACATACAAGTTAGGCAGCACTGTGAGACAATTGAGACAGACCATATCCCTACAGATAAATCATGTGGCATGAAGAGAACCTTGATGGCCTAAATAAGAACCAAATACTATTCAAACAGCATCACCTTTCTGATCTCTCTCTATACCAGAAGTATACATGCTAATGAGCTAATGCCAAAACTCTTCAGTCAACACCTGAGTCCCACTGTCTGTGATGTTTTCAGAATTTTCAGAATCCTATCTTTACCTTGTTTACATCGTCGGGACAGCGGCTGACTCCTCCCCTCGTGTATAAAAGTTGTTTAATTGAGGGACTAGAGAAAAGAAGAATAACATACTGTACTCACTGCTTAACTGTGTTTCTAGATCACGCTCATTTCAGGTAAATTTACATGCAGTGTGAAGATACGAGCATAATAAAGATCACTAGCATTAGCATGCTAACACAACAATGCAGTGCAAGTTGTTTTGGTTTCATGCTGGTGCTCAAGGGCGACATCTGCTGGATCAAAAAATCACATATAAAGCCTTTAAAAGAAGAAATCCAAAAGAGGTTGTTGGTAAGAGCAGAAGTTCTAAAAGATGTTAAGAGGTTCATGACAGACCTATATAGAAGAGCAGCCACAGAGGCCCCCAGAGGCCAACAAGGGTATTGTAGCAATATTTCTTACACATGTAGGTGAAGATTTGTACATGGCTTATCAGTGAATTTCCTTGTACTAGATTCAGATATGTGACTGTGTCCACTAAGGAAATATGATATGCAACACATAAATAATCCTCACAAACAGGGGTCCCCATGTATGGAGTCTGTGGTCCTCCGGGCGGGCGGCCCAGGTTTAAAACCCACCTGTGGCTCCTTTTTCCGCCAATGTCAATCCCCACTCTCTCTCTCCCTGATGATTTGATAGCTCGCATTCAACCTGCAGCTGTTGAAGGGAGATGCCACCGCGGTAATGGCGGCTTGTCAAATTCTGCTTTTTCAACAGATCTGTAAAATATTATTTTTATTGTTTGCATACTTTTTTTATTTCTAATCCAGTGGACCAGATTCCCAGAGTTTGTGTGTGTGTTTGTTTGTGTTTGGGTTTGAGTGACTGTGTGCGTGTGTGACTGTGTGTGTGTGTGTGTGTGTGTGTGTGTGTGTGTGTGTGTGTGTGTGTGTGTTTGACAAAATATGCATCTCTACATATGTATGCAAGGGAGTGTGTGTGTGTGTGAGCATGTTTGAGTTGTGTCAGTTCTGTGGTCTCGGGGACAGCACAGTCCCGGTCAGTGTTATATTTCAGATCAATCAGGCAGCCTGCCAGTTCTATATAAAAACACCGGGCTTCTGTTTACATCAGTGACTTTCACACAGAACGCCAAAGCACAGATCTATATCACAGTTAAGGAAATGAAAGGTTAACTGTTTTCTGTATGTTGTGCACATCTGAGAATACAAACTGCAGAAAATAATCTATAATTCTGTGTAGCTCTATTTCTGATGATTAGTTCCTCTTTTCTTCATAGTACTTGCAAAGCCAACCCTCGTTCATAAATCATCCTTTGCATCTTTCCTAGCACCAGAGAGGTGAATCGAGGACTTGCTCTAAACTCAGCAGCACCCAAATTAAAATAAGAATCAGCACATTAAGTGGAAGAAGCCAAAAAAGAAGGTGGTGCTTGTTTCACAGTTCAACAAAACCCAAATCAATAGGAACCAAAAGAGGGACTTGACTCTCTTTTATGAGACACATAATTTGGTCTCTCCAAAGTGACATGTATGGGTGCAAATTTTAGAACAAAATTGCTGCACTAAAAAGAAATGTGAATAATTCTGTGTCCTTAAAGTTAAAACGAATGTCTTTATACTCCCAGGTAGAGAGAGAGAGAGACGGATTAGTAATTGGTCGTTGGGCTGTAAGAAAAAAAATAAAATAAAGTAAAATAAATAAAATGAATAAAATGAATAAAATGAATAAAATGAATAAAATGAATAAAATAAAATAAAATAAAATAAAATAAAATAAAATATGAGTTAAGGAAAGATTTAAGTGTCTTGTAAGTTTTATGAGTGGTTGATCAGGATTTGTGTTTCAAAGAGATCCTTAAGTGTGTCGTGCATGTCTGTGTGTGTGGGTTTGGGTGCATGTGTGTGTGTGTGTGTGTGTGTGTGTGTGTGTGTGTGTGTGTGTGTGTGTGTGTGTGTGTGTGTGTGTGTGTGTGTGTGTGTGTTGGGTTGGCCGGCCTGCTGACGTGAGCTTTCATGCATGAGGACCTTTTCTCATTACACTCTCTCCAAGCCCTTCTGTCAGCAGAGAAGTGTGTGTGTGTGTGTGTGTGTGTGTGTGTGTGTGTGTGTGTGTGTGTCGGTGTGTGTCGGTGTGTGTGTGTGTGTGTGTCGGTGTACAGTATGTCTGCAATTTCCCATAGCTTTGGCACAATCTGTACAGTGACCTGAAACATAGTTTAGTTTCACACCGAGTCAGACAGATGGACAGAGAGTCCCACATATGGACAATTTAACCTCAACATGATGACATGATATTATCAGGTTGCTGCCTTTGGAGTAAAATAGAAGTCGTTAAATGAAACAACAGATGCCAATTAGCTATCAATGAACATCTTACATGATCTGTATCAGTGGGACTCATAATGCCCTTTGAAGGTTGAATTGGATTGTTTTATGCAAAGAGGAGATGGCAAAGGCATAGAAAGAAAGACACTTAGCCTACACAATGAACCCCCTTCCTCAGGATCTGTCATTTCAAAGAAGGCTTGACTGGGTTGTAACAGGGTCATCAACACAGCAGCAGGGAAACAATGTTGGTACTTTTTGAAAACAAGATGACAAAGTCTCCAATTATACACATCTGTACGTCATGTCATTGCCCTTGCACAGCAACAAACATATGTTTCAAAATAGCAGGTGACAGATAGGTTTCAATTTAGAAGATAAGATGGAAAACTACAAAACTATAGGGACACAAATTCAAGACCTACTTTAAGGAGAAGTTTAGCTTGTCTTGGACAAGCCACACTCGTGTTACTACATGGCTTAGAATAAATTAATTTCCCATCAAAGCATGTTACCTACTTCATATCTACCCTAGAGTTTCTGGTCTCAGAGGTTCCTGTGGTTGTTTCTGAACACCTGCTGCTGTGTTTTGTTGCTGTCTGTAAATCTCCCTGTCTCTCTCTCTCTCTCATTCAACTCACTCTTTCTGTCTATCTCACTTTCTTGGCTTTATTGCAGATGACTGCTCAACAATGAGCACAGCTCTGTCTGAGGTGACTGCTGCATGTTCAAATAAAAGCTTTTCCTTGCTAGTATTATGAAGCGATCATTCATGGTGGACTAATGTCAGGTCTCTGGACGTAATGTTACAAAGAGTTCAGTCTACACCTGCTCTTGATGTACAATGTCATTAATAACTGTAGTTATGATTTGGCGCTACTGTATATATTTTTTTGAATTGATTGATTGATAAGTGACAATTATACCAGAGTCAATGCCCAAGATGTATTTATCAATCACACCACACCCTCTGACTGTCTCAGCTATAGCAACATCCAAAACATTTTTTTTTTATAATGCATTGACCATCCAAGAGAATTTATGAAATAGTTCTATAACGTGTTGTGTGTCTAAATTGTGTTTTCAGTAATGCTGCTGCCTTTAAGGGATGCACTGTGGAAGGTCAGCAGTAGCCTTCAAACTAAACCAGCCATCCTGATTAGCCAGCTTACATAATCAAGTAAGGACAACCACTCTTCAGGATCATCACCCAGCAGGACCTGGTATTGATCAATGCGACCTTCAGAGCCTCCCCTCAGGGTCATGTGTGTTGTTAAATTTTATGAATAAAGTGTGTCAGAAAAGTGCATGTGCTTTCAACTAAACAGCATTTACAAAGGAGGGATATTTCTAAATTAGCACAACCGGTAAGTG